ATGTATGTATGTATGTATGTATGTATGTATGTATGTATGTATGTATGTATGTATGTATGTATGTATGTATGTATGTAAAGAACCACAAATAATTTCTAAAACCCATTCCTGTGTGGCAATCAATCACAAAAAGGAGAAAAAAATATAAAGAGATGTTTGATTTTTAAATATGGAAGCAGCACTTATGGAACATAATGCAAATATGGCATCAAATTTTATGAGTGACTGTATGTGCGTAGATCTAGACAACTTATGATTCACCAATGTACAAGTGAGCCAGATATTTGGGGCTTTCAAAACTGAATGAAACCTGACCATTACACTTTGGCCTGATCTCATCCATCTTTCAATTTCAAAATCCTGAAGAAGAGCTGGGTGAATTTGGACAATTGGACGGTTAATGCACACCAGGAGAGAATCTACCTTCACTGCCATTATTTGCCCGCTGGGCATATGTCGCATCATCTCTACCACACCATATGCACCACGTCCTAATTCGGATATTGGCTCCAGGTCATCAGCTTTAACTTCAAAGTTCTGTGAAGAAAACAAAACAGAAGTTAAAAGGCAGATCTTCATTCCAATTCAGCCAAAGCAGGTGAGCTGTTTAACTTTCTTAGACTTTGTTTCCCTAAAGGACACTTGATTTTCACACATTAAATAATGTTACTTTCATGTGCCTAATTGTTTGCATAGGTCCCCCCCCCCCTTTCACTAGATTAGACAAGTGGTTTGCACAAGAGATATTCTCTCTTTGGAACCCAAAAGAATAGCAGTTTTATCCCTCTTCCATTCTCCAGATCACTTCAGATGTAATTCAGCGTCAGATTTCACCACAGGTGAGAGTTGCGGGTGAAGGAGGATTGTGAACAAGCACTCAGGGTCATGGGCAGGTGTATGGATGCTGCAGGGGTGAGGGGAGTATTACAGGCAAGGTGTAAGCAGACACTGCAGAGTACAGGTGGGTGAAAAAACTGCAAGAACAGGAACAACTTTTGATTCCCCAATGGTTTTCCCATTGATTTTGATTATAGGAAGCCATTAGAAAATGTTGGAAAACAAAACCATTTGAACATGGCTTGCTGTATTGTCATAATTGCAAGGTGGGCACTGACCATCATGTTGCCGTGGTGACAATTTTTAAGTTCCCCCATAATATCACCATTGTAATTATGAATGGTTGCTGAATGAGTATCTACCTATATTGATGCTCTAAATTGAAAGTTAATTCAATGCCTGTAAAAGCACCCCACATCATTTTAAAATGTTAAAGCTTTTTGAATGCTGGATTAAACAGATACAAGATATAATATATAAAAATGTAAATAACAAGAGTGAGAAATAAAATTATATTCATACAGAGACACACACACATACACACACTTGTAAGACTACTGCATTCATTCCTATTCACTTCTTCATTAATTTCCACCTTAGTCCTCCCAACAAGCACACAAGCAGATCCACCCACCATATTTTATCTTCATCATACCTTGTCTCCAATATTAATGCAAGCTTTGGAATCCAAATCTCTAGGTGGCCTGTGAAATTAAGAAAAGTAAAATCAGAAAATAATCTGATTTGCACTTAAATTCACACCTATGAATAATTGTATAGAAAAATGCATTAATCTACTCAGAGGAAAAAAATGCTGATTTGGATTGCATTATTAGGAGAGTTTGGGAATTAATACATTTTTAAATTGTATACTTGGAAAATATTGCTCTTTAAAGAAACTATTACTTGTATATGTGAATCTCCTATCAAGTAATTTTTAAAATATGAATCTAAGTTTAGGGGTTGCCAATAATTAGCTATCACAAGAAATTTTTTATCTATCTCAAGTTGTAAAAATATTTTTAATTAACATGTGTATAATGATTAAAAAACACTGAACATTTTTAATGTAAGAACTTTTTAAAAAAATGCAGCAGCAACAATTATAAAAAGGCAGAAACTGTATTATTCAAAGGACCTTCAAAGTATAGTTTGTGAACAGGCATAAATACATTTTAAGCCTTAAATGTATCTTAAGTGTTAAATGCTTACTTAATTGATCTCTTCCATTCTTTATATTACAGGTAAATTACTTTGCTGATCAGTTAAAAAAATGGAAACTCAGGCAATTTTTAAATATTCTTCACAATTCTGCTTGGTGGTTAGAAATTTGGTCCATTTTCACAGACCATCTTTTGAATAATATTTATTCAGAATTATTATTTTGAAGATTTTCTGTGCTCCTATAGATAGTATTGTGGTTGAAAGAATAACTAATTCCTCTAAATGATGAACTCTTCAAAATACCTTTTACTCACCACAAAAGAGCCACATATTATGTTTGATCTTCATGTCTTATATATTGCTGAAGTTGGGGTTCATTATCACTCCTTTCCTCTAACCCTCTGTTTTATTTTAATTGTGTGCCTAGAGAGATATACTGTAAATGTTCAGTTTTCATTTAATCTAATCTGATGAATTGCACAGAGAAGTAAGTTTACCTGGAAAATGTCTTATTTATCTTGCATTATACCTTATTTATCTTTCAAATACCTTATTTATCTTGCATTATCCATGACAGAAATAGCTCCAAGTAACCTGAGCACGGATGAACTTTGTCATGAATCCCTTCTTTTACAAAGGACCAGCAACGTTTCTTTTTAAAAAAGGCTCCTGCTTAAGTCGACTATAACTTAACACAGAAAAATCAGAAGATGTTAATGAATAAAGGGAATATATGTGTCCCAGGATAATGAGACAGGATCCAATCTGGGTAGGTCACTGGGTCTTTCAGACCAGACTGCAAGTGGTCAAACAAGGAGACCTGAACTCATTGGTAGCCCCACACTGCAATGAACAAGGACACACATTCAACTTTGCGATAACCAAGATTGTTGGACGGGCAGGGACAAAAACAGCTGGGGAAGTGATTGAAGCCTGGGAAACACACATACCCACAGTAAGCCAGTAGGAGTGCTGATTTACCACCAGCCTATCAAGTATTTAGAAGACCAGGGCTGGGCAGCACACAAACAACAGCTAATGACTTAAAAGCCAGCCATCAACACACCCCAATCAACATCTAAAAAGCCACTTACAATAGGCACTATAAATACCACACACAAAACAGCACACACTCTGCTAGAGAGAAGTTCCCTGAAGATGGGTTTTAGCATGAGTCTGAAAGCTCAGAAGACAAAACCTCTGGTCCGACCCAGATTGGATCCTGCAGAAGACATTAAGCTGAATTCCTCAACATAATCCAAAGTCCCTGTATCCATGAATTTTCAACTTTTGATATTAATAGAAATTTGCTTACTGTATTTCAAATTCCAAATAGGCCTTTCCTTTTCTTAAATTGTTCTTATTTTTAAAAAAGGCTGCTTAAATAACTCAGAACTCCTAAATAGCAATACAGTACTGAAAATATATTCGCTGTTTTAAATGGCTTGCCTCACATAACATTAGAATAGTTTTTAGAATTTTCATGAATATTTTGATACTGTGGTAAATACAAAACAGTTATCAATCATCATTACTCCCTATCCAGTTCCCAATCAGCAGCAATTAATAATGTGAAGTGGGAAAATATTGTGTCATCACAACGTGCAGTGAATTGCTGCAGATATTTCACAGAACTGGACTGGACCAGTTTTAAGACATAACTGGCCATGTTATATGAGGGACTAGTAAATGACAGCCTCCATACACATGCATACATTCATACATATATGCAGACACAGCTTGTGCCGCTAGCCATTGTGTGTTAGAATAATAGGTTAGGATTAATAAACTGGGAAGGTTAAAGACCCTCTCCCACTTTCCTGACCTTTCCTGACTTATTAATGTTGTTAATGTTGATTTTACTTAGTGCCCTATATCTGCAAGACATATTGATTATAGTGCAGAAAACTAGGGCAGTGAGAAAGGACACTGCCACTGAACCTTGAAGAAACAGAAACTTAAAAAAAAAGACTGTTGGGGCTATCATAACACTAAGACAGGCTTAAGGACACAGGAGGCAAGAGGGTAGAAACAGCAGTAGACTCTTGTGATGGGCCATATCAAATAACCAGAAATGTAACATATAAACACGGGAACAGTGCAACTATACACCTTATTTACAGTGGAAGCTCCTATAAATCTGTATCTTTATCAAAGAGTTATTTTTACATGGACTTCATAAGTGATCGTGGCCACTTCGATTTATCCATTGATCATTCTACACGGGGTTGAAATTCAGCCAGTTCTGACA